CCGACAAACGCGAGAAAGAAAAAAACAACCCAGAAAATAAATTAGATTTGAAAATTAGATTCCCGAACAATTAAGTAACGCAAACTATCCCGGGTTACACCGAGGAACAACCGCCGTGATTAATCGATTTAATTTGCACATTACTGCAGGGCAAAGAGGAGGATGTTAATTCTGGATAAACAGAAGAGTGGATTTACTTCTTATTGACTGTCAGGGGAAGTGGTTTAAAATGCACACACACTCGCAAAAAAGCATGCACACACACAGTAAAGAGTTAACATTATTTGAGCAAATATTAGTTTAATCGAAACTAAATTAATTGTTATCATAATAAAAAAGTTTAGTCTGCAGTTATTTACGATATAAAAAGAACCCATTAGTTTCACACAGTGTTGAGATCAATAACCTCCAACGCATTGCATTATGGTATTTTGTAATCCTTTAATATAGTACGAAATGTATCCAAACATTTTTTTGTAAACTAAATTTTACATACGAGCGCATTTCTCCATAAATACCGATCATTTCTAACACGGTCCTTTACATGCGGATAAATATGGAAAATTGAGCTACTTACATGTAATAATACTTCCTTTCAGACAAAGCAATTGACAGAGATTTTATATTTATCACGTACATAAACAGGTTGACACGGAATTTCAGGCTTTCACTACACGATTTATCGACATGACATTAAATAACAACAATGATACTGTGCTACTCAAACTGGACCTTGGACGAAAATGTTGCACTGGTAGGCTACAAAAGCACATTAATACTAAGAGTCGCTTAGGTCGACGTGTAGACTGTAGTAATACGGAATAATTCACATTTGGTTCACAACTATAACATTCTTTTCAATGAAGTCTATTCATCGCAATATTCTTAAAACCATCTCCATATATCTAGGGACCAACATTTTTCACAAATTCCCTTAAACTGTGATATTTACAAAATAAAATATTACATTTTTTAAATTCCCAACGTGGTGAAATCCTTATGTACAAAACAAATTCAGGCCTCTACCCGGAGATAGCATGCTTTTTCTGAACAGTCCCTCAGTAAAAAATAAGGGAATACTGAAGGGGGGGGGGGTTAAAGTGGGTGCTCCTCGCTTCCTTTTAGTCCATGCATTTCTGTCTTTAAATGATCCTCCCGTGTTTTCTCAGTCCACTTTTATAAAGTCTTTGAATCCAAGTGTTTTTTTTATTCTGCAGTCTTTCTTGCGTCTTTTTTTTCGTTGCAAAAATATTTACACGTACCATTCATTGAAATTTGACGACAGCGTGCTGTGGCTGGTTGTGTGGTGGACTGCTGAGGCTGCTGGTGATATGGAGCTGTTCTGGTTCTCTGTGGACGGGGACACTATAGTGGGGGGTGTGGACGACTCGTACCCTGAACTGGCTGCAGGAGAGGGCTGCGGCGCTGGATTGCTGGATTCGTGGACCTTCAACAATAAAACAGAGATTATGAAAAAAAGCATCCTGCATTGGCTGGTTTGTCTCGGGTTTGTGCACAGATACAAAACAAATCACAACTATGGTTTGGATTATAGCTTGATTTCTAATGTTGGACTCAGTGGTTGCAAAAAATCTCACTAATGTGTTTTTTTAACCAAATATGGAAGGTTAAAAAACAGGCACATTTTTATTAAAAAACGAAGCTCACGAAAAAATGCTAAATGAGATCCAGAGTTGTAAAAGGCAGTTTTGAATTAAAACAGGACTACCATTTTAAGCTTGTGCCCTTCTACTAAGGCATTCATGGTTAGGAAACACAGATAATGCTGACTTTAAACGAGTAAAAACACCATGACTGTATACCGATTTTTAACACGTGCTAAAAATCCCCAGATATTATTATTTGTATTAATCTGATTTATCGGTGCAAAGAAAATACAGTTCTCCTATTTCTATTTAACCTCTTTTCATAATGTTTTTTCAATTATTATTTCCAGCTGTGAAATACCATTGAAAAATAAAATCATTGCAAATATTAAACTAATTTTACCTTCATGTGTTTCCGCAGGGAGCTGGGGTGTGTGTAGGACTTGTCGCACATTTTGCACAGATACGGTTTGTCCGACGTGTGCACGTGCATGTGTTTCTTGCGGTCACTGCTGTTTGCAAACCTCCTGTCGCAGCCTTCAAACTCACACTTAAATGGCTTCTCACCTAAATTCAGAAACAAAAAAATACAATGTTTTACACTGGGTTTTTAAAATGTCACAATATTATATGTAAGTAAACAATGCAGATGAATAAAAAGACAGTCTATTTTTACTATTACATTTGACAGACAACTCGAGTTACTTATACACTGCTAATTAATTGCATTTAAGCCATTTAGGCTTGCAGATTAATTAATTTAATCACATTTACACTCTTAACATAACAACATAAAGACTTTAAAAATATGTATCTTAACAATGCACTGAATTTCATGCAAGTAAGAGACTAGTAAATAATAATCGCTTGCATATTTATGAAAGCGTGCAGTCTTACCGGTGTGAGTCCTTTTGTGGATTTTTAGGTTTTCCGACCGGGCGAACACTTTCCCACAGCCGGGGAACGGACAGGGAAACGGCTTCTCTCCGGTGTGTACTCTGATATGATTCACAAGTTTGTATTTGGCTTTGAATGGCTTCCCTTCTCGGACGCATTCCTCCCAGAAGCAGATGTGGTTGGTCTGCTCGGGCCCCCCCACATGCTCCACCGTCAGATGGGTCACCAGCTCGTGCATGGTGCTAAAAGTTTTGTTGCACGACTTTTTGGGGTTCGTCAGCTGCTCCGGCTCGATCCACTTGCAGATGAGCTCCTGTTTGATGGGCTGCCTCATGTATCGGAAGAAGGCCCCTGCCCCGTGGTGCGCGGCCATATTCATGTTCATGGGGCCGTAGCCGTGCAGCTGGGATGATGCGTAATGGTCGGACCTGGGGCTCGTAACGTGGCCATACTGGTCTGCACGTCCATACATGTCCCCAGTGAAGCCCAGCCGCATCTGGCTGTTAACCACGTTGGAGGGCGCGTGGTTCTGCTCGTGGAGCCCCTGGAAGAGCAGGTGCCCCGCCGCATCCGAGTGTCCATGTGGCCCTGCGAAACTTCCGGAGGCGAACAAACTGTGCTGCGCGCCGGTGGCATCCCCGAAACCCCGATTTCTGAACAGAAAGTCCCTGGTGGAGTTGAAGGTGGAGTAAGAGTGGCTCGGGTGGTGGTGGTGTCCCAGCGCGGTGGCTGCGTACCCGGGAGCCTGGGAGGAGAACGCCGTCTGTCCGGAGCCAATATCGTGGGAGCTGTGGTTGATTTTGAAGGCGCCCATCCCATCCGCGAAGGGATTGATCCCCAACGCCACTTCTCTCTCCGTGACTTCGCCTGTTGAGTGATGCCGAGAGGAGCCGAAAGTAGTGACTCCTATGGTGGGGTACTGCGGTCCCGCGTCCAGGAGCATCTTCAGTCTACACGAGCCGAGACGACTGAGAGCAGAAATCAAAAAATCACGTACAGATATTCTTCCTCCCCCCTCTTCTCTCTGTCTCTTGGAGCTCTCTCGACTGAGCAAACTCTGAAATCCACAGATTCTCTGTTTACTTTCTAAGACGCGAGGAATTCCCCTATACGGCTCATCCGATGCAGAAACATGTATACATGCACTATTGTCTTTTGCGGTTTATCTTCCTGTGGCGCGACTTTCACCTCCTCAGTCAGGCGGTGAGCTCTAGACTGATAGTCGCAATCATTCCTGCAGATAAATGAATTGAAAAGACAACACAGTCCAGCCCTGATGAATGGGAGAGGAGGGGGGGTGGTCATGTGGCCCCGGTTCAGCTCGCTCATTGGCTGAGCCCCTTTCCCCCCAATAACATCCACTCACCAAATAACAATCCACGGCGCAGGGCCCACACTTCTATTGGCCTCTTTGCATCATCAATCCCAGATATTGTGAGATTGCTGACTGTGGATTTGGTTAAAAGGCGGAATAACAGCAAAACAAAAGTTGAGAAACGCGAGACAATGAGGGACCTCGTAGAGAGTCAGAGCACGTTTTCACAACACAACAGTTTATATAGAAAATGTGACAGTATGTCTTTGTTAAGCTGGGCATTAGATCACCTAGAAAACACATTTTGGTGGTGTAATTGGTAACGTTTATGTACAATTAAGCACTCTAGCTATCTGTATATCTGTCTATATTTCTATTTATAATGGAATGCATTTGATGGATACGCAAATACTATGTCAGGAGCAGAAATAAAGACAATAATTGTATTTATCGCAACTCTAATGGACTGACATGATGGTAAACAAACTTTATATTTTCTCGTTTGTCATTGAGACACTCTTGAGGTTTTAATATGAAACCTGTCAACTGTCATCACTCTCTAGTTTCATTTCGAAGGGATCCAAATACTGTAGTGTTCCTCTGCTCTGTGTGTGTGTGTTATTGGAGTTCCTTGAACACAATGTCTCTGCGCCCACTGGAGCTCACACCAGTGGAACATCTGTGCTTTAGATTTCCACATTATGATCATGCTCACCAGCGCCCCGCGTCCATAAAGGTTACACCGTATATAGGCCAGGATTTGACTTGGATGCACCGGTGTTCCTAACGTATCCATCACGAATTTTGGCTGCAGTGCTTGTGCAACTTACTCATTTATTTTGCAGGCCGGTGATGCATGGCCTGTGTGTAAAACGTTGTGGGCTGTCGAAGTTATCAAGTGGGATTTGCGGCGCTCTCTGCAGGAACCTCCGGCTGCTGGAGTTCAAAGCCACATGCACAGACGTGCCGGGCAAACCATTAAAATATCTGCTTGGCTACTAGGCTAGTTCCTACACAAGGCATTCTCCAAGTCAGTCTTGTAAGACCAGGCAAAGAGGGGACGTTTTGTTGTTCTCAACTTAGCAATATACACCCGGCGTTTTTAGGTATAGCTGCTCTGCTGTGCGCACATTTGGAGGGATCTCTCTCAACAGGTGGACAACGGTAAGCACGGCATATTGTTAAGAAGGATAGGAAAAGGAGTGAGTCAAGACTGGAGGTCATGTAAGAATTGCCACAAGAGAGGCTAATTTGGAAATTGTGTGCAAAGAAAAAAAGTTGTTGGAATTATGCAGAACTTTGTCGTTTTGAGTAAATACGTTTAAGATGACATGCGTAAAAACAAGGTGCCTGATTAGCATGTGCTACCTTTAAGTGCCTTTATCCAAATGAAATGATACTGTAGAATTTAAAATGGCTACCTGGATCTGTTTTATGACTTACAGTGAAAAATAAACTAAGCCAAAGCTGCACAAATTTGAGTTTTAAGAGATTCTGTTTTCACCTCTCTGTTAGTTTGGGTCCTGTACAACTCCCCTGTTTACTTGTCTCCAAGAGTGAGTGCGTGCACAACATGGCCCAGAAATAGCACCTGAACGTTTTGCATTACGCTGTTGCTGTGATGCCTCTGAGGGCCACAGCTGAGTGAACCCCACCGTAAGGCCATTTAATAAACACATTCACAAATATTGACTCATTGTCTAACGTGCTGGAGATGACGCTGTCAGCCACGAGTCTGACGAGTCAATTCACAGACAGAACTATCAGGTTGTAATATAGTTTTATATCTGTTTTCGTATAAACCAATATTAAAAGTGAGTTATTTATTATTATTAATTAGCATATTCAGTTAATTGGTCTATATCTAAAAACTACACACTGCAAAAACACATGCTCGTAATATCGCTATTTGATTTTCTCATGAACGAAAATGTAAAAAAGAAGTGTGAGGGGGTTCAGATATTGGCAATACATTTAAGTTATACTCTTAAATCCACAATTCACTCATGCTCACCACAGAGTTGAATAACACATTTCATTTTTGACATCAAAGGTTTCAGCTCTGCATGTGACCTTCTTTAAGGTCGCTGCAAGCAGTAATTTATTTTTGTCTTCAACTACAGAGATATTGCAGTCTACACACACACCACCAACCCCCACAACTATAATATTATACAACTCTCTTACAAACCTAAATTATAATTAGTTTTAAAAGAGTAAAACTATGGCAAGAAATTATTCAAAATTCTCTCTAGTTGGGATTTTATTTTTGGAAGTCCATGTTTGTTAAGAGAGTAAACGTGCCCACCGTGCTGCAGATATATTCGTGCACAGTAACACCCACAAATGTTTTGGCCACACATTTGGTTTTTAAAATAGTTTGTATAACCTCATCATTTAAAAAAAAGTACATAGACAAAAATAAAACAAAAACAAATTATACGACATCCTGTTATGATCCATAAATAAAAAATATGTCGTTTAAGCATTCAAACAGGGAGCAGAACCTAACATGTTATACTTTGTAGGATAATATCTTTGGAACCGATACTTACAGCACACACACGTTTTTATTTTGAACCTTAGTCTGCAACGGCACCACCTCCTGTGACCCTCATCTGCTGCCGTCCAGGGTCTAAAGCAAAATTACCCCGGATCATAACAACAGGTCCCGTCCATTACTTTTTCCCCCCTCGGGACAATGGCCGCAGCTCGCTCTATTCACACTGACTGCACACACGGATCCCACCGAGCAGAGCACGGAGTCAACACTGCGGTGCGCGCGGAGGAGCGACCGGCTGGATGTGTAAATATGGGTTTTTATCAAAGCGCGTATTAATACTTTTTACTCCGGACTATTCATACTCCCACGTGGAGTTTTCCTTTCGATAAATGGACATGTTTCTCTCCGCTGACACCGATCTTTTTACGTGCGTAAAGCTGTGCGTAATTTGTGCGTAAACTTGTCCCTCATACGTTGCAGGGGGAAAATGAAGATATCACTGCATTATTTATGATCCTTAAAACATTTTGTACTAACAATATGCATACTCTAGCGAGGCAGGCTGTTTTGTAATTGCAGAATCAAAGAGGGGAAATGGCTCTTTCATAGCCGAGCAGCCTTTGTCTGCTCCGACAAAAGAGAGACGACTGTATATCTGGATCAACTTTTTAGGACTTTTATTGTACAATAACCTTTGCATAACAACTATTTTTCTAAAGCGTTGCCTGAGGCACTGCGCATGCGCGCTGGCAGCTTGCTGTCACTAAGACATTTTTCTTCACGTTGGAAACTGTCACTGCTGACGTCAATCACCAAGCTCTGACCAATTAGAGCGCGGGGTGATTGTTTAGCTCCACGGGCTGCAGCGCCTACCATGAATCTCTATTCAGTATCAAAGCGTCCTGCTGCTGCCTCTCAACCGAATGGGATTCCATGTAGTCTGCAGATAGACTTAACTTTATAAAGTCTTTTTTCTTTATTTTTTTTCACTACGATTAAAATATATTTGTCATCATCATTATTATTTTGCCTGCTGTCAAGTTATTCTAAAATTAGGAAGTAATGAGCGTGGATGCACTGGGAAGCCCCGTGATGGACCCTACGTTTTCCAAACGGAACACGGCGCTGAGATTAGTTGACTTGGCAGGGGCTCACCACCATCACCATCATCACCACCATACCCCTCAGAGCGTGACAGGCTTCCCGGGGTTCAGCAGCCATCCACACTCAATGGCTCACTCGCACCCTGGGGAGATTACTGCGGAACCCCGCCTGGGGCCGAGTCCATTCGGGCCAGAACACATGGGGCACTCCGCGGCCCTCAAAATCAGCCCAGCCCATCATTATCCCCACCACCATCTCCACCACCACAATCATCATATGGCAGGCCACAGTGAAGTGGTCTCCAGTCAAACGGGAGCTTTTGGCCCGGTTCAGGCGACATCGGTGCCCTATCCTATGTCTCACCACCCGGCCCAGGCTCTATCCGCAGGCAGGGACTTCCTCATCCGGAGAGATCTGACAGCTCAAGCCATGCCCGTGCTGACCGACCAGTCTGCCGGTTCAGCCTCTCACCACGGAATGTTTGTCTCAACAACAGGTAGCTATCCCGGACACTATGGTCACCACCCTGACGCTGGGAACCTCTTCTCCGGACTCCATCACGACCAGTCTTCTAGCGGATCCCCGGGTGGCCAAGCGTTGAATGGACAAATAAGGTTAGGACTACCTGGAGAAATGTACGTTAGATCTGATCACTTGAGTCAAGTGACAAGCTCCAGGGCTGATCCGTTCTCCGCCTCGCCGATGCATGGCTACGGTGGTCTGAATCTGAACATGAATCTGAGCGCGCACCACCACCACCACCACGGAGCCGGAGCCTTCTTCCGTTACATGAGGCAGCCGATCAAGCAGGAGCTCATCTGCAAGTGGCTGGAGCCGGAGATCTCGCCGAAGAAACTTTGCTCCCAAACTTACAGCACCATGCACGAGCTGGTAACGCACGTGACGATGGAGCACGTCGGAGGACCGGAGCAGGCGAACCATATCTGTTTTTGGGAAGAGTGTCCGAGGGAAGGCAAGCCTTTTAAAGCCAAGTACAAACTTGTAAATCACATCCGAGTGCACACCGGGGAGAAACCGTTTCCATGCCCCTTCCCTGGCTGTGGGAAAGTGTTTGCCAGATCGGAGAACCTTAAGATCCACAAAAGGACTCACACAGGTCAGTAGCTAAATATATTCATAACATTAAATGTACGAATGCCATTGTGAAGTTGCATGTTTAAAAAAAGAAAAGAAGAAGCTACAAGTGGATAATTTCTGTGTATTTTAGTGATTTTTAATTTAATTTAACTTTCATTTCTGATGTGGCATGGTGATGAATCAGTGTGTGCTGCTGGTGGATCAGCCTGCAGCTCCTGCATGTCCACCTGTCTGTTACGAGGTGCCTCAGTGCCTGCAAGTTTTAGCAAAAGGCTGAGCTTTGGGATTATGGTACAGCTCACTCAGGCGTTTGACGGTTCAACCTCTTGTTTACACCACAGCACAAAGACTGAGGCCCAGGCACCTCCTGTCCAGGCTGTTTAGAGCAGAGAACACGAGTGACAGCAGAGTGGGATCTTCATGTCCAGTGTGGCTGATATGATGATGATTTTTTATAGCCAATTCTTAGCTTTTGCATGTGCCTTTATTGCAACCTATAATAATAGCTGGTTGGATGCATTATAGCAATTGAAGCTGCCAAGAAAAGAATACGTTTTATTTAGAATATTGAGTATTGAAAGCCTCTTCATGTCCAGTGTGGCTGATATGATGATTATTTTTGTATAGCTAATTGTTAGCTTTGTTTATGCATGTGCTTTTATTTCCACTAGTTGGTTGGCTGCAGTATTGCACTTAAAGCAGCAAGAAAACACGAAGAAGTTGTATTTTGCATATATGTATTGTACTATTTAAAGCCCTTTATCAGCGTTATTTTGCAGAGTGCTTTTTGCATGGTAACTCTTGTAGCCTTTAGCCAATGCAACAAGTTGACAAGTGCAGACGGCTGGAAGAATTCACCAACAGGTTGGCAGAGCTGTATGATGAGTGGTGTGTGTGCACTGCAGCAGCCATGACTTTAAGACACATATAATGGTTCACATATGGCTGCTCGCCACTGTGTCCCAATGAGTGCTGTGGAGCTAGTGAGGGGAAAATAAGGCCTCAAAATGTCGAGTCACACTTTGTGAATGCAGACTACATTCCTCTTTCTCGCCCCCTCTGCTCCATGTCGGCACCCTATGTATTATTCATATAATTTGCTCACATTACCTAAGTACAAATCTGTTAAATTATTTCTGTGTGTTGACTCCCGAGGGGCCTGGTCTTTGGGATCATGTTTAAAACCTATCCCAAAGTGTGGTTATGTGTGAGCTGCCCCTGGGGTCTGTTCCTCCAGCTTTCTTGTACTACACTAATATCCTTGATTGGCTCTCTCAACCCAACAGCTGAAGGTCAAATTGATATTCAACCCGCAAGTGTAATTAGACAGAGGCAATTACATATTCTCAAAAGCTTTAATCGGAGGAGAAAAATCAGCAGTGGATGATTTCCGTGTAATTTATTCACACTGTCTTTTTTGCTTTTTTGCCTTGTCATAATCAGGTAGGAATACTTGTTGTTAAGAAGCTAAATTAGAGCCAGTCCAAAAAGCAGGATTCAGATAGCACTCAGTAGGTGAAGCCTGGCTGTGGAAATACTTTCATTCATCATGTTTTCAGTTGGTTTTAGGCCTGCTATGTCTGTGCTCATAGCTTGTCTGTTTTGACGTATGTAGACCCAGGTACAGACGCAGGACAGTGGGGGTTCAGCCTCCTGTTTACACCAGGCTGAGGCTCCTTTAAAGTGCATGGGGGGAGCAAAAAGTGTGTTTACTGCAATACTGTAAATACAAAATATGTACAATTATATTTGAAAAACTGAGAAAAAAATCAAAGTTGCTGTAATTATACTTATACTATATTTTTGGGTCACATATGAGGACATGTATGCAAGTGGTGTTTTGAAAATAATTTAAACATTGGAGATACTTTTAAACATACACATAATAATATAATATAATAATAATGCCTGAGGGGGAACATGTTATTTAAAACATGTTGTAATGTAAATAGAAAATATGTGCAGATAAAATTACATTTGAGAAAGAAGTTGTAATTTTACCAGCTTTATTTTGTTATTTTTGGGTCACATATTTGAGCACATATGCAAGGGCACCACATTGCATTTAGAGAGTTGTATCTACAAGTTGCAAGAGTGTCTCAGAAAGTGTGGGGGGGGGGTGTAAAAGTGTGTTTATTGCAATACTGTAAATACAAAATATGTACAATTATATTTCAAAATGGAGGAAAAAAAATCCAAGTGGCTGTAATTATACCAGCTTTTTATAATAGTTGTATTTTCTTTTAGGGTCACATATTTGAAGCCATGCAAGTGGTGTTTTTATTAACATTTTAGATACTATCAGATTTCTACAAGTTGCACGATTGTCTCGTAAAAAATCACATCATGTGAAAAATAAATCTGTAACGTACTGATTTATATTTCATTGTGTCCCCCTCACTGTTCACAGGTCCACACTGGTGGAAATGTTAACAGTTATACGATCAGATATCTACAAGTTGCACGATTGTCTCATAAAAAAAACACAAGGGCTGAGCAGGAAACTTTCAAAATCTGTAATTTATTGATTTATGCTTTATTTTTTGGGTCACATATTTAAGGCTGTGTATACAAGTGGTGTTTTTAATGAGAATTTAACATTTTAGACACAAGTTGCAAGATTCAGAATCAGAATACCTTTATTAGTCCCACAGAGGGGAAATGTACATTGTTAGAGCAGAAAAGAGCCACAGACAGCTTAATGTTACCTAAAGCATACAAAAAGTATTAAAGATTAAAAAAAAGAAATTATAATACAATTTACAAAATACACATCCTTGTATTGTCTCATTAACACACTGCCTGAGGGTGAACATCACATAATTTAAATCTGTATTGATTTATATTTTACCTTTGTGTCACCAGGTGAGAAGCCCTTCAAGTGTGAGTTTGAGGGCTGTGACCGACGCTTCGCGAACAGCAGTGACCGGAAGAAGCACTCGCACGTGCACACCAGCGATAAGCCTTACAACTGTAAAGTGCGAGGCTGCGATAAATCCTACACACACCCCAGCTCCCTGCGGAAACACATGAAGGTGCACTGCAAGTCCCCCCCACCCAGCTCCGGGTACGAGTCCTCCACGCCGTCCCTGGTGTCCCCCTCCTCGGACATGGGCCGGGAGCCAGGAGCCTCCTCGGAGCCGGTGGGAGCCTCCCAGCCGGCCAATTTAAGCGAATGGTACGTGTGCCACAGTTCAGGTGCAAGTGGTGCCCAAACACCTCCCAGTGGAGCCTCCACACCGGACCCCTCAGAGCCACCTTACAGGAACCAAGAGCCGAGGGACGCGTTTTAATCTGGATCTGAACGCATCATTGAAGCGTTTTAATCTGGACTTGAACGCATCATTGACATTTTTAAAAGCCTCACAGTTCAAAACGGTTTGGCTCCGGTGCCTATACGCCTCTTGGAAGAACCCCCCAACATTTGGAAGGTGCAGACCCTAAAGACGTGCTAATTTCCAGGCACTCTAAAAATATATATTTTGAAACTCAGCTGTTTAAAAGCTTGGCTCGGTGCCTGACGGTCCACTTGTGGAGAGTCGTGTAAATCCCGTTAGACTGTTCATGTGGTATTTTTATTAGGCTATAGGCATGTTGGTGTACAATTATTTTGTAAATTCAATATGTTTTTATTTATTTTTCAATCTGATATTGAAGGGAATTTTTGTATTATCGAACCAAAGTGCATGTTTCAATTAGGATGAAAAAAATGTACATTTGTAAATTTTGTAAGTTTTGATGTGTTGGTGTTTGCAGTTATTTGTACAAAACGTTTTTATGTTTATTTTCCCCATGTGTGCAGAAGGGTCAACAATTTGAACTGTTTCATACGCCTGCAGTATTTGATATACGACCGTGAAATTATAAATGTTTTATCAAAGTGGGCATTTTGTGATTTTGTATCATTGTCGTCAATATATATATATTTTTCTTTTTTTTTGAATATCTGAAAACGAACGGCACTCAAACGCGTACCGAATTGCCTTGTAATTTGTGAGTATTTTGAATAAATCTTGTATGACTAAAGTGAAAACTGTGCTGAGCCATTCGGGTCTATGTGGGAATTTACAGCCGGTTATCAATTATCTTTGGGGAACATGTGCTAAATATGTCTTGTTTAAAAAAGAACATGTCAATTTAAAAACAGCATTTGTAGATATATTAAATATCGACTTTTAAGATTTTAACAAACAGCTCAAGGAAAACACATTATTTAAGTGTTTCTCGGTTAAACTTCTTGGCTGAGTTTGATGAATTTCTACAATATTCTGATCCAGACTTCAAAGAGCTTTTGGTACAAAGAGCCATTTTTTTTCACGACGGTGAATCCTCATGGTGAATTAAGATTTCTAAAGCAATAGTCAAGTCAAACTCAAATGATATGGGGCCAAGTCCGTGGACTCAAAAGCCCGCTCTAAAGAATGTAATATTTGCTTCCCATGGGGTAGGAAACGGTAATCTGTGTCCTTTATACTGCAGACGAGGGGCAGCATAAAGAGGAAAAATATATTCTTTTGCTGGGTCTACTTTACGACAATCAAAGGAGAAGCCGCTAAAAAACATAATAGACTTGCATTGTTGGATGGCCGAAGTGCTCAAATGTAATCATATTTTCAGACGTGAAATGTGCAGAACCATAAAACACGTGGTGCCTAATGATAACCACACAGTGCACGTTGAAATTAATGTAATATATTGTAAAATAAAACGAGTAAAACAAGGTTAACAAAAACAGGAAGAGCTCTGGGAAAACTTTTCTCGCCGAGGGGATTTTTCTTTTTTTTTTACTCCAGGCTCTGACTAGAGTGGGTGGAAACACTGCAACTCTGTGCGTGTATATAGAGTTTGGTTAAGTGTGTGACAGAAGAACAAGAGGCCCAGATTGTGAAAGAAAAGAATAAACCGAAGAAGATGATGATGCCTCCTTTGGCACCAGCTCTTGTGCGTAAAACAAGATAGTTGGATCTCAATTGAAAGTGGGGCTCTTTGAAGTGGAGCTTGATATCAGAGGGATTCTTCTAGGTCGTCTGAACGACGTTGATGACACGGAAAGCCTTTTGTCACCGATTTGTTGGGCTCCTCTCTATTGGGCTCCTCTCTATTGGGCCGTCTAAAGCTTTTAGTTCCAGTCGTCAAAATGGACAAGAACTAACTGAATGCGTAAAAACATTTTCCATTCAGAGAGGAGGATAGGCAGGCTTTAAAGAGGTTGTTTCATTAGCGGAGTTAAAACATGAGATCTTTTTTTTTTTCTTCTGCAGGGACAGATCAAAGAAAAAATTGCCTTTGGTTTCATTTAGAAGCGAGGAGAAATAAATCCGCTGTAATAATTTACGACTTCTGCGAAATATAAATAGCCTGTGCGCAGTTAGAAAGCACAAGTAACTCTGAGTGGGGGGGTTTAAGTGAAATGCACGTGAGGCTGTGTTGTTGAGGAATGTTTTTTATGGTAAAAGTTCGTTGTCCATCGTACAGACACTGGATAAGCTAACATCTGATCCCCCAGCTGATCTGATATCAGCTCTGGGATCAAGAATCAGGAACAAGTGTGTGTGTGTGTGTGTGTGTGTGTGTGTGTGTGTGTGTGTGTGTGTGTGTGTGTGTGTGTGTAGGCTACGTGTGATTGCGTGGCGATACATTTTACGCGTGTGTGTGTGTGCCAAAAACAGAGAGCCTCAATTTGAGCAGCAACACGAACGAGTCCCAAACAGGAAGCTGTGTTGCAGTTTCTTAGCAGATATATTAATTGCAGGATATACTTTCCTTTTTAAAGAAACGAAGGGGGAGGTTTTCAACTTCCAAATGCAACAAAAAAAAGAAAAGAAAATGAATCCATTTCGTCCTCACGAGGCCCTCTCTGGCTCATTTGAGTGTGAAATATCATTTCTTTGTAAAATAATGGAGGCGGTAATCCTACTTCCGGAAACTGTCCGGCATTATTGAACAAAACCCTTTTAATAGGGGGATTAGCAGTCTAGAGTAAAAGCCATCGCCCCCCCCCCTCCCACACCACCCTCACCACTCCCCTCCTTCTCCACCGCCCCCCCATGCTCCAACACCGCCACCATGAGCACCTCCAACACCAGCCAGGTCATAATTATCAGGAATGAAGTGGCCGACATTGGAAGGACAAATAAAAGGAGAGACAGGTGCAACACAGAGCCACAAACAGACCGGAAATCAGTTGAGAGTGGGTATTATAGTTTATAAAAAATGCATTGACTTTATAATTAATTAATATCAGTAACAGCATAGTTTAGATGCATAAAAAATGGCTGCAAATTTAGTTTTCCTCCTTTTAAATATTATAGGATTTTTTTTTCTTCGTAAAGGAGCAGAAGGCAAACCCCAGGAACAGACCGGAAATCAGGTATAACAAAACTGGCTTAATGGAAAAAATAATGCATTGATTTTACTATATGTTATTGTTAGTAAATATACATATATTAGATGTATTAAATATGGCTTTAAAAACACTAAATTACAGTTTTTTTCCTCCATTTAAATATTAGGTATTTCTTCATCCTAAAGGAGTATTCCACTTTATTTCTCTGATGCAGGGTGCAGAGGTCAAAAGAGGCAAACACCACCGTAAAGCTTGTCATGAATATTAACTATGATATTATTCTGATAGCGTCCAAGGTTAGTTTCCAGAGGGGTGTGTGTGTGTGTGTGTGTGTGTGTGTGTGTGTGTGTGTGTGTGTGGGGGGGGGGGGGTTACCAGATCACTGCGATGTATAGCTCCACTATGAGCTTCCGTCATAAAGATTTATGAGAACCTTTAAATCTGAATTAACTGTACTCCGCTTATAAAGGCAGGTTTAAGGCTACACCCCGCGGTAGCTTTTGTATACAGCAGGCCCACATAAGTCACTATCAAGAGAGGGAACAAATCAGAGGCAGTAAGACCTTCTTCACCCCCCATGTTTTAGGATTACCGTCATCCAAGTTATTTTACTCTCACAGAGGAACCAGAATCAGCCCCCCAGCAGCTATAGGCCCGAACACGGGTCCCCAACAGCCTCCACATTATCAGGCAGAATGTGCCACATACTTCACACCTGCACCCTGAATAGCAGCTCCTTTCAGGGGGTGATACGCCTGTTGGCCCTGCATGGCTCAATGCAGCTGCATGAATGAGTTGTGCCTCTTTTGATCCAACATCTCCTCCTGCATTTGCTCAGATATCTAGTTAGCAGCAGCTATGATCACTTCCCTTCATTAATGCACTTTCATTATGTGTACAGGAACTTGTTGCTGCAACAAACATATATCTGTATGTTGTTGACGTCAACTCACGAGGCAAATATGGGGATTTTAATGATATTCACAATTTATTTGCACACTATATTCCTTCCAGCACATTTCTGAACATGAGGTGTTTAAAAAAAGAAATCACAATTAAATACAATTATTTCAAAATATAATATTTAAATGAAGGAGCTTAGCCCTACACACTGTCTTGCAGGCAGTTTGAGCTATTTAGTTAGCATCTACTATGTGATGACTTATTATTGTTATTATATATATATTATTATGTGCAGAGGAACTTGTTGCTGCAACAAACACATCTAAATATTGTTGACGTCAATTCAGGAGGAAACTATGGGGATTTAAAATGAAAAAACGGGATTTTTTTGTAATTATCCATTTCTTTGCACACCACCCTGCTTATTTCTCAACACTAGTCAATCAAACAAATCACAACAAACATTTAAAAACCTAATATTTAAATTGAAGAGCTAAGCCCTGCGCAGTGTCTTGTAGGCAAACTTCACAGTATTAAAGTGGGCCATGCATCACGCAGGATAAATGAATCTGGATTTGAGGACTTGCCCTTTGGCGATTAAGTCGATCTGACGTACAGTAATTCATCATAACTGGAATCTATCATGTTCTGCTGACCCCTGCGTGATCTGAGTGTTTGTGACACTAATATCTGAGAAAAGCAGCGAACAGGTGTGAAAGAATAAATATGAAATCCTGCCAAAGACAGACACTGTTTGTGGTTAAAGTTTCAGCCCTGGACAAAAACAACTCAGGGACATGAGAAGTTGCTGCAGAAATAAAAATAAAAAAACGATTATCCTGGAAGTGGTTCACAAACAAGGAAATGAACCGTTTTAGGACAAAAACCCTCCTACTGATTTAGCCAAAGCCATAATGGCAAAAGTGCGTTTATACAGTCGATAAAGGAGACAGTATATCATCATATATCAAAGTAACACATATTAGGAGATGCAAATGCTGCCAGCATTATGAATCATTGCTCTGTCTGCACTATTTCACACGTCAGATGGGAAATATGTTCCAAAACGCACAGTTTGAGGAGACACATAATGCAGTGATCAGTGTTGCAGTGTGGAGGACTTTGGGTCATTTCGCCACCTCCCGCAGAAACACATTATGCCTCTCATATTTACATACTCTTTAATATTTGTCAAACATTCATAAATTACAAACTAATGAAATGTTCGACGGTCCTTGGAGATGGAGCTAATGAAGACTTTTTTTCCTCCGTTTTGACACATCTTTGTTAGGTTTAATACCATTCTGTGTCTCATGGTCTATTAACTATTATTATACTTATGTCAGGACACCGCTGACACGTTACGACACGAGGATCACCTGCTGGAGGTGGGCACGCCATGGGATATAAATGGCCTTCATCTATAACGCCAGTAGCCTGTATAAAAAGCATTAAATGTGACTGGGATTATTAGTGTACATTTCCTGCAGGAATTACGCACTGAAATACACCTTCAAAATATGTATTTGTTTAAATTCAATCGAAATTATTTGTTTTATTTTGAAAAGTATGAATGAAATTATGTTTTAATTTGAAAAATATAAATAAAATTATTTTTTATTTGGAAAAATACAAATTGAATACATTATTTTTTCAACGTTTTTATTTTTAGAAAGAAACCCCGTAATGAATAATTTATTTAAATGATTTTTTTGTGTCGCCACTACAGCGTCAAGAGACTCTCAAAGCCCTGAACCTGTGCAAACGAAGAAAGAAAGAGAGGA